TCGCGATTTTGTCTATGCATCATTCAATATAATAAATACGAAAAGATTACCATCTATGGTATTATATTTAAACATACAAACTTCCAATGAATATAATTTGCTATACGAGGGACAATTTATTGCCATAATACGGTTACACTACTGAGTACATCGTATTCCAAACATCTTATACACTTTTTTTAGATGAAAGCATCGACGAGAAAAAACAAATGTTATTTGGTATGTAAAACAATGTTTAAATTACGTAATTTTGCACAAAATGAGGTTGCAACTCTTTGAGGTAAATGGTTCAACTGATTTTATTGTTCTTTCTAGGCTCTCTTATTGTAATGTTCTGAAATGTTTTATATTTTAGTTTCCCAATCCGTTGGTCAAAAGTATACCTGGGTTGCGTTCAATATCATAGCAGCTAGTATAGCCGCTTTGTCTTAGATATCTATATATGTTGAACGATATGCTACGTAGCTAGGCTATCCAATTGATGTCATTGATAATAACATATCCGACGCCATTTTTTATTCTCTAGATAGTATGAATTTTTTCGGTTTACTAGAACTATTTAGCGGCTAGGCTAACTATACGTTCAGTAGTCGAAATCTACGTAGCCCTACGTAGCAGCTATGATATTGAATCGGTACTGCTGCTGGTGCAACTGTCAGTCCTCGAGGGTACTTTCGACCAAGAAGCAAGTACTTAGATAATGGCATGATTTAAATCAAATATTTTATAGTCAATGTATAATTAAGGCGAAAGAAGTTTATATATGTTCAAACATGTAAATTGATTAAGAAGAGACAAATCAAGGTGAAAAACAAAACAAAAACTGAGGGAATCAGTTAAGCCAGTTTTATGTACGAACAAATCTACTTAGCATATCTAGACCAAATGGCATGATAGCAAAACACACACTAAAAGACCTGCACAATCAAGCTAACGACAGAATGACAACTTCTTTTAAAATGGCAGTAAAGGACGACACACAATTTGGGAATCAGGATCAAAATGTGTTCGCTACCTTAAAAAGGAGTCTAAGGTAGCCAGAGCCTTGTGATTGAATTTCAAAAATAAAAACAAAACACTACTAGCATATTCAGCATATTCTCATTTACTAAAAGTTAGTTAAAATTAGCATTAATTGTCGGAGATTAGTAAGTATTCAAAATTGTCAGGCCATCTGAAGACATAACTATTTTCACGCAATAAGTTAGTATATAACACCTGTATACCTTGTTGAAAGAGGATAATTTCCAGAGTTTTAAATATACCGTTTTCCCATGTTTCAACATTACTACGCAATAATATATTTAGAAATTATTAAGGAACTAAGGTTGTGAATCCCTCAGGCAAAGTTTACCATAATTGGATTTGACTATTCTGTTTGGTCTGATTTGGTCATACAGCCTCTCACCTAATCAAGTTCTTATACATTGATGGTTTTCATTGTTTTGAGTTTGAGCATTCATGATGAAAGAAACACAAAATTAATAAGGTGTTATTTTAATTTTTCATTTTAGAGGGTAGGATGTGAAATATTATGTAAATAATATTATTTTTTTATGAGAAACATTATATCTACATATAAATAAAGGCAATAGTAGTATACCGCTGTACAATAGTCATCAATCGATTTAACTGAAACAAATCCGGGTCACAAACCAAAACTAGGGAAACACATCAACTATAAGAGGAAACAAAACGGAACAACAGAAACACTGAACTGCTACAAAAACAAACGCCAACATACATAAAAACGGACTATGTAATATATGATGCACGAAAAACAACCAAAATACAAAACGACAGTACAAAACACAATATAGAGAGCTACAGACTGAGCAACACGAACCCCACCAAAAATCGTCCATAAATGCCAATATCGAGGCTGATTATAATTTTTCTTAAGAATTCAAAAGTCTGTTGTATACGTCATATCAGATAGAACAGAAAAAAGCCTCAAACAAATATGGTTTTTTATATGCAAAATATTTTACTTGAAATGCCTCACTTAAGAATTCGAAATTCACGGCAAAACTGAGATTCTCACATATACCCCTACATCAATCACGAAAAAGTAGATAAAAGAAAATCTCAAACCCGTCCTTCTCTTCGTTGGTATTTACATGAAAAAGGACGATGAAATATCCTATTTTCATACTGGATACCTAAACTTCGCAAAAATTCATATAAAGAACGATATACCGGTATAGCCACATAACATCTTTCTAAATATCTTACCACCAATTTTCCTAAAGTACAAGATGGCCTTCAGAAATATTGTGAAGAAGCATATTCCACCAGCGGTGTCATTCAGATGTGAATTTTTAAAAATTCTAAAGATCTACTCCGAAATCTTCAATTACAATCTTCACAATTTTGTAGTAATATCACAATCTTTGATTTTTCTACGCTTTACACTACTTTCCCCATGCTCAATTGAAAGATCGACTACACCATCTCATTAAACAGAGCCTTTTCTACAAAATTAAGAAACGTAAAATGAGAAATGTTACTTTGTGAAGAACCACACTTATTTCCACAACACATACACCGAAGATAAAATCATCAAAATGCTGAACTTTTATCGACAACATATTTGTTTGGTTTGGTGGAATGATATTTCAACAGACAGTCGGTATTCCAATTTGTACTTATTGTGCACCACTACTGGTCGACTTGTTTTTTGTACTTATAAGAGGCAAAATTAATACAGAACCTTCTTAAAAACAAAAAACAAAAAGCATCTTGTGCAGTTCTTTAATTTTCCTTTCAGATATATTGATGATGTTCTGACACTCAATAACCCAAATTTCAATGAGTACTTCCATCTCTTATTTCCCCTTGAATTTGAAATTGAGGATACTACCAAAATTAGAATGTTTGTTTCATATCTTGATCTTTTTCTCGATATTGGCACAAATGGACGACTTTAAACTAGAATCTATGACGAACGTTATGATTTCAACATTCCAATTTACGCTCTGCTCCATCGTATGGCGTTTACATATTCAGTTATCAAGATGCTTGAATTTTTGATTGACAGCATATTTGTTACGTGTTTTTTCAACAAACAATAGACATTCACATGGGAACCAACTGTGCTCCTCTTCTTGCCGACTTGTTCCTTTATTCATATGAGGGATATTGTTAGGAAGAATGAATAGAAGCTAGCATTATGCTTTAACTTCACGTTCCGCTATGAAGATGATGTCCTCTCACTAAATAATTAAAAGTTTAGTGACTATGTCGAACGCATCTATTCAATAAATCGTGAAACAAAGGATAAAACAGCCTGCCTCATATCTTGACTTGCATCTAGAAACTGACAATGATGGTCGATTGATAACAAAACTTCACAACAAAAGTCAGGATTTCAGCTTCCCAATTGGGAACTTTCCATTTCTATGTAGCAACATTTTAGCAGTGCTTGCATATGGAGTAAACATCTCCCAGCTAATATTATATTCCAGAGCATGCATTTCATATCATGATTTCCTTGATAGAGTGCGGCTGCTTACAAGGAAGCTATTAAACCAAGGGTTCCAAGCAGTGAAGTTGCAGCCGTCCTTTGAAATTTTTACGGACGCCATCACGAGTTGGTTGACCGTTATAGAATATCTGTTTCACAGATGACGACGGGTATGTTCCAATCATCGAATAAGACTTATCAACAAGTTTGTACTTGTATGAGCAATACGAAAGGTGCCACATTTGGAGCAGGACTACTCCATTTACGAGATAAGAACATCGGTAAACTACTGTCGCCTTAATTTACCCATAAAACTTTTGTAATACAAGGTGTGTCTGGCTTTATTTATTTTAACATGTTCTATCAAACTCCACAAATTTTGAAAAGAACACACCATAGTATATAGGCTGCAACAAGAGAAACATCCTTATCTAAAATGAAAGTTTGTATTGGCAAGGTAAAACTCGTCTTTTCTTTTATTTCTTAGTTCAATTTTTCCGTTTCGTACACAAAACTGTTGATAATTTTTGCTGTTTTTTAGCATTTAATAATCTGAAGTTCTTTGTGATAAACTCATTCATCATGATTAATAACTCGGACTCATCACTAGTAAGAACATTATCAATGTATCTGCTATTATTGTTAAAAATATAATATATGTTTCAGAATTTTCTTCTTTTTTTCCTTTCTGAAGTTTCACGGAATATTCATGACAGTTAGGAAAAGGATCTGCAATCGGAGTTTAGCAGTTTTTACCAATAAGAATTCCGATAATTTAAAATATATAATCTAAAATATTGTCAAACAAGACATTTTGAACCTTATTCGTGTCTATGCATGCTCAGGAACAATGATTTTCATGACGAAAGAATTCGAATGAACAGTTGTTTTACACCATATAAATTCAAGACCTGAATGATAAAAAACAATAAAATTCGTTTTGGTTTTGGTTTGCAAACTTTCAGACGTTTAAACATGATTCTTGGGTCCAAAATTTTGTGCATAACGTACCTGATGAAGGGGTTTCCTAAAACGTGGGATGTGTACACTAATATTAGATTTAAATCTTTAACTAACACTGGACCTCTATGCTGCTAAAGGACTATCAGTTCCTCGCAGGTACATGCCACCTAGTAGCCAGTTTTTCGTTATTGGCGTGATTTAAATTATAAATTTTGTTTGTGAATGTTTCCAGCTTTTAAGTTATGTTGTTTTGCAAAAATAATGTTAAACTCTCTCGGGCAAACGTGACTTTAGACATGTAAGGTTACATAAAATATTTTCTATAACCATCGTATATTTCAGTAAATTCCGTAAATGGATGCTACGAATGCGTTTATGTGTCGGGTATCAGACTAATAGTATTAATTGGTAATTTGGATATTGGAAGAACGATAGGGAAAACAGGTTCTACAAATTTCAGGAAAAATAAAAGTTTTATGGCAAACATAATATTTTTGCTAACTGAGTGTTGTAACATGTGCTTGTACCATTGTGCAGAATATCTCATAATAATATATCTTAAACAAAGTGAACCATTATTTGAAAGTTTATTGCAGATTTGAGTCTTCCAAACAATTTTTAATAACGATACAATCATTGAGCGATATTTGTTGTCTCCATAGTCTCCTTTCTCTGTTTATCATACATTGCATTTAAATGTGTTTTGGTATTTAAGAAACGGAAATATCGCTAACAATCTTTAAGTCTTTCAAGCGTGCTCAAGAATTTTATAGAATGGCTTTAATCATAAAAAATAGTCTATTCAAAACAAATAAACACAAGTTGAACAATGAAAAGTCACTCTCTTAACTAGTGGTTTTCAGTGTCATGGATTTCTGATTAATGTATATACATCTATATAGAAAGGGGACTGTGGAAAAAACCCTACAAGTAAAATTCTACAAGGTTAAAACATATATATATATATATATATAATATATATATATATATGTTTCGTGTACTAAAACTAATAGGGAATCTATAAATCGTAACAAATATGTAAAAGACAAACAAGTTACTGGAAAATAGAATACAGAAAATTTATATATCAACTTAAAAAATATAATTTATTAATGTTATCTATAATGCAATACTGTTCGTGACTTGTGGGTTTTGGCACTATTATATTCTATTTTCTCTAATTCTTTGACAATTTATACCTTTCTGCACTCATTGTATAAAAAAAATTTAATCAACGTGTGGTTGCCGGTGATCTCAAAAGATGATTGGATGAATTTAAGGGTCATAACCTTTATCAGCTCAAAATATGCTAACAGATGTTAATGAAATTGACAATTTTGTGAAATGTGGAAGGCACTCGAAGGGGGTTTTGGTTTAACAAAAAATGAAAATGTATTTTTTAATCATTAGAGAAACACATTCTTACATAGTTACTCGTGAATTATCTGATTTATCCAATCTCGATAGTTAAATTATAAATTTTAAAGTCCTCGCCAAGGATCAGACTTTAAAATTGATAATTTAACTATCTCGATTGGATAAATCCGATAATCCACTGGTATCAATGTAAGAATCTATATTTATAAAATATGTTGCATTTTGTAACCTCATGTGAAATGTATATCTGAAAGCGTGCAACTGAAATAAAAAAAAAAACAGAAATTGTACAATTTCGTTTAAGAGCAGAGGGATAATGGAAGTAATGCTGGTAGAATAAAAAACATCAAATCTAAATATTCTAATTTTTCATTTATATGAATTTTAAACCTGAAAAAAATGTATTTTATATATGTATCTAAGATTTCATTAAATAAGCAATATTAATTAATTTTCCTATTAGCATAGATTGGTGAAAAAAACAAATGCTATAAAATGACAGAAAGAAAAAAGGACTCTCGTTACTACATACAATATTGTTTTCTTAATGTGGTGACATCTAATTACATTTTCTATATTAAATAGAATACCTATATGTTAATGTTTTGGTATAATATCTATTTACCATCTACAATAAGAATCCTGATTGTAATTCTCTAAGACCGTATAAACATCCGTTTCTTCTACAAACATTCAATGCTTATACCCATTGAGCTGCAGAAACAAATATTCAAATAAGAAAAGTTCTAAGATATGTTTGCACGAGAAATTTATTTAAAAATTAAATTAAAATTAAGTAAAAAAAAAAATTTGATAACTGGAAACATTTATATCAAAGTAACGAGTGATTGACTAACACTAAACATACTGATTTATTTCTTGCATACTCAATCGCTCATTAAAACTATTTTTGGCTCACTCAATTGCTCATTTGAACTATCTTTATATAAAAAAAAATTTGTTTCTGATCACACATTTACGAATAAAATATTTTATAAATACAATTGCCTTAACATATAAAAGTGATAACTGCTTGAATTAAGTAGTATTTTCAGTCACACGGTGTCTTATTTTTTTGTGTTTTGTTTTATATACATGCTATATCTAATCAACCCAACACATGGTCAAATATGTATATCGACTTCTAATTATTAATGAATTATAATAAACAAAATACCGTATAACGGCATGTCCATTTATTCAATATGATGAAGCAGGGTGAAGTTAGATTTGTTTGGAAGTCTTTACAAAATTCAGAATCAAACAAAAGTATTGGTTCACTTTAGAGATATTTATGATATGTAGTAAATGTATACGAATAGCACTGAACATATTATAGCACTTGCTAACGTTTAATGGAAGTTTTTGATTATCTGTATTTTGAACATTTTCAAATGTAGACTAGAACAGTACTAAAGCAGCAATGTTACAATTCAAATTAAAATTCCTTTAATATTTGGAACAATACCCGACCAAGTGAACCCTAAAAAGACAAATTATAATGAAAACTCAAAGATATGTGCATTGGAAAACATATAACTTCATTAAATTTAAAATATAACCTAAGGTGATTTATGGTTCTTATTGTCATGAGGTTGAAGTCGGTCAATTGTATTTAAAATCCACTATCAAATATCGCATAATACAGAAAAATACATAAAGCACAATGAACTATATAAATCATTTATTTATCTATCAAACGATTGATAGTTTAAATATTAAATTTACATTGTAAATGATTGTTATTTAATGTTTCCGGTGGACAGATGCTTAGAGATATTTATTTGTTTTTTAGACAATACTTAGTTTTCTATAACATAACTAATCGCAATGACATGAAAATATATCATTGGAACATGATTCGAGTGGTCCGATGTTTACAGAACATAGGAATCAGCAATATGAAATGATAATTGAATTTTATTTTAGAAGTCAAAATCAGACATTTCAGCTCTCGTGTTTCATTTCACTTGGGTAAAATGTATAAGTTTGGACACCAAATCAACAACTAAATATAAAATAACATTATCCTCTGAGACAATATCACATTCTACAACAATATTAATTAATATTAATATAAATAATATTGTTAAAATAAAGTTTAGAATCCCGAAATGTGTTCATAACTTTGTAACGATGACAAGAGAACATAAAAGAACCATAGGAAGATAAGAAATAGTCCACATGCCATCTTCGGACCTGTTGGACCACCAAGCTCCGCCTTTCCAAAGATACCGGTAAAACGTCGTACAATTAAAAGTCCTAATGTTACTACAGCACAAATGGAATATATTACTACACTGAATACTAAACTACCAGCTTGTACTTCAAAGTTTTTGCCCTGAAAAGAAAAAGATGTCCATAATATAAAACATGTTGAAGGTATGTTATACTAATACACATTTTTTTGCTTCAAGTAAAACGTACTATCATATGAACATTTTCATTTCTTAGTTGAAGTTTTATCGAAATTCAAGCACTAACTTGGGTGAATCCAAAGTATTCGATTATTGTACTGTTAAACAAGGCAAAACAAGTATGCACTTTTAAAATTATTACATTTGTCATTTACTTTTTAAATTCAGAAGTTATATATCACTTAGAAAAATATGACAATAAATGAATACCTGTGCCGCCCAATAAATTGCAGCAATCGACCAAGAAACACCAAGACCCATGAAAACATTGACTGCATTACTGCCAGTCACATTTCCTACTGCATTGTCAGCCGATCGTTCTAATGTTGCCGCTGCTCTACTGGCAAATAAATCTGGTAAGCTGGTTCCTAAAGCAACGAACGTGATTGCTGTGACTTCAGGTTTTAAACCAATTAGGCACCCAAATATGTTTGCCAAATCTCCTATTATCGCAGTTAATATTCCAATAGCTATTAAAGCGCAAATAAAGCATAACCATCCTCCTAATATACTTGCTGGTGGAACTAACGAGAAGATAACCTGAAAAATAGTTCTCGAGTATGTTAAAAACTGGATATTTATGTACTTTTGCATTTCGACTCCAAAATATAAATTGGAAATTGGAAAAAAAATATTTGTAAATTCCATATGGTGTAAATATGTATTCCTATCACATATTGACTTTCGTAGTATATGTGATTTTAACATACCTTTTCAATAGCAAAGTTAAAATAAGAATATATAAAAATGCATTTCGCTTTCTTAATCGTGTCCTCTTTTTGGCAACATATTTATAATTACGAGAAATCATTTAACATTAGTAATACATAATTCATATTTATATATTAATTCATAAATGGCAGAAAAAAAAAATTTTTGACAGTGTATAAAACATTAAAGTTTTTACCTTCCAACCAAATGTAAAAAAATGCAAAATATAATCAAGAAAGGTTGCATTTTCAATGTCTCCACCATTCACATTCATTGCATCCTGGAATTGTTTGCTCCACGATGTATATGACATTCGTAGTGAGTCCAAGTTAGCATTTGTTAGATCAGTTACTCTGGCGACGAATCCTTTAAATTCTGTAATGAAATATTTGAGGAAAATCAAATTTGATACAACTTCATTAGCAATCATATGATGAGAAATATAACCCTTTAGCTTAAAACTATCTAGATAAGAAAAGCTAATGAAATCAATAAGGATCGATGCAACATTTGCACATGTGTTTGGAATAATGAAATAGTAAGGTAAAGTATGATTCATATTCCAGTTAACAGAGTATTTTTTTATGGAGTTAAGCGTTAGATCGAAACAAAATGAGATATAATTTATATCAAGAGTTAACCTTTTTGAGTTTGGATAACAGTATGGGTGATTAGGGCTGCATTCACACTATCACGCATTGTTTTCTTGCACTACTTTTGTCAAGTTAGGTTAATTACTGTAAATGATAATTCTAAACTGCTGTATCCTTTTCGAGGAGTTACCAAAATGACGAGATGCAGATGTTATCGATCTTTTTTAATATAATTGAGTAACTTCCGGGATTCTTACCGTCATCATTCACGATAGTAACGACACATCTCGTTTTTCGTTTGTCCATTTCACAATTGCCTTCTACTCCAGTCAATCTGACTTCAAAATTTTCATCCTTTTCAAATTCCTAAAATAATGAAAATGAATTTACGGGTTATTTTTAATTTTTTTTTGTCTTATGTCTTTTTATTCGATTATTTTGTTTCTTTGAATAAGGTCGTTTTTAACATGATCATTTTCATTTTCTCTTACATTACATCTATCAAATATACCATGAAAGAAAATATGGTCATGTTTATTAATTCAAATCTTTTACGTACCATGTCATCATTGATACAGATCTCAATCATTTTGGAAACTTCTCCCTTTTCAAACACAATTTCCTGCTTTTCATCAATGCTGTAATCACGACCCTTGACAGCTACTAAATCTTTGGTGTCATATTTTACGGTGACTTTGCCCTTGCAACCTCCTTCTCGTTCTACTGGGATTAAAGCTGTACCAACACTCTCTTTGAATACAAAGGCTGGCTTCGGGAATCTTACAGTGTCCCTAACTGTAAAAAATATTATACATCGTTACTAACGGTCATGCATTTGATTCAACATGAATGTAATAGTTAGTTAAGTATATATACACCAGTGTGTAAGAAAAACTGATGTTAAGTTTTCTGTTTATTAGATAGACCATAACTTCAAATATTTCATTTTTAATAAAACAGTTGTCAAATCATGAGACAAAATGATGAGCGAAAACCTTTATTAGATCATAATTTTTCTTCATTTACAATAGCTAATAAAGAATACGCGGTTTACCTAATAAATAAATAAACTTAAATTATAGTCTACAAGTATAAGAACAGATTGAAATGGTTGAATTTAATTATTTTCAAAACACACATGTTTTTTTTGGGTTGATTAAGTGTCATCAACCAAAATTACTAAATTCTAAATAAAAAACTTAATCGAATTCTCCTTTATCACAAACTAAATTTTTATTATTGAATTTTCGTTTGAATGATAGTACCCACTTTAACACACACTTGTCTGGTATGCATAAGTTCTTAATCAAGGATAATCATGCTTGATTCCATATCATGACATATCAAGTAAAGACTTTTATACTTACTATCATCATTTAAAACTATTATCTGAGTTATGGCCCTTCTCCCAACAACCCCTGGTTCAGATGGATCTATTGAAATTTTGGCAAAGAAAACTTCATCTTCTTCCCAAATATCATCATCCACTATGTCGATTTCAATATAATTCATAGTTTCTCCTGGTTCAAAAACCAAAGACTGTTTGAACTCTATGTAATCTTCTGTGGCAACGGCTGTTCCATCGAAAGTTTCAACCCTTAAAAAGAATCGATATTGTTTATTTGAAATTGTCATTTTTTGTACTAAAGACCTCAAAATATTTGTATGTGACTATTGTTATTCAACGAGATTCTGTGGGGAGGGTTGAGTTTACAAAAGATTATTTTTATCCATCCACATGTGTATGTGCCTGTAACAAGTCAGGGATATTGACAGTTGTTTTCTCTTTTGATCTCTTAATGTTTTTGTCATGAAGTGAATTTGAGGTTGATGGCAAATTATTGATAGTCTGTGTTGAATTTATTCGCAAATTGTTTCGACTCCGAGCTTGGCATGCATAAATAAACAAGTGAGTATTGCGGTGGAACGTATGTTATTCTAATACGCCTCTTCGTTCTTTTTATCCTTGGGTAACTATCTCATTGACGCAGAACATGTCGCAATTGGTAGATGCACAAACGAGGAAAAGAGGATTGGATTGTAGGTAAAAGCTGGACATATCCGTGGACACATTTAACACTAATATTCAACATCAACCAAATGATATTGGCATCCATAAAATTTGACATGTGAAATATTAATAACAAAATAAATAAACGACGGAAAATAATACTTGAAAAACTGGCATTGCTTCTAAACTCTGTATACACTTCTTCAAAATCAAGTATGAAAAATAATCATATTCAAAAAATTATGATATAAGAACAGTACCTGTATCTAACTCTTCTGTTAGTATTGCCATGTCGAGCAATACCAATCTTTACTCGTTTGTCACATTCAAGTATAGAGGTTGAAGGAGCAGTAAATTCTATGATAGCCTTTTCTCCACCTTGACTAAGTTCTGTCAAAGAAACTTGGGAACCCATCTCATCACAAGCTACCAAGGTTCTGAGAAGCTGACAAGTATATTTATATACATTTATATTGTGCTATGAGTGAGATTTTCTTTTTTCTTTTTTGCTGTTCTTTTCTGTTGTTGTTTTATTGTTGTTTGTGTTAATTGTATATTTATCATAATGCAATGTACAAACAGACAAATATGACCCATGCCATTAATCTGTACAGATGTTGTCTACTGATGCTCCAAGACACTGCTTTTTTTTAAAGTTATTGGCTTAAACCAAGTCGTTGGTTTTCTTTTTCGAATTGTTTCATGTTTCGTTATCGTGAAGCTTTAAATAGCTTATGGATTGTAGTTGTTTACATCCCTTTCATTTGGTTTTTAGTGGATATATGTCTTTTTGGCAATCACACCACAATTCTTTATTGTTATACTACAAGTCGAAACGTTTAATAGGTAAAGTATTGATATATAGATACTTAAATTTCGGCATGGTTTCTTCTCTAATGCGTGCATAATCTATCAAATTATTAGAAATGAAAAACATAGGCTAAAGGTGTTTGGTTATCTTCTTCACATATTGTGCTAAGATGAATCATAACAGTGAATATACCTCTTCTGTCCTATCGTTCATTTGTGGAGTAAGTTTACTTCCCCCGGTTAGAGATCTAATGGCGTTGATTCGGTACCATCCTCTGCTATGTTCTTTGTTTTCTTCCATCAGTCTTGCTGTAAGCACAGCGATATCTTTGTCTTTCACATCTTTCTTGTTATGCAATCTCTAAAAATGTCAGGCCAAATTATTAATTAAATCATTTGTATTACATACTATCTAATTCAATAATGGAGCTGATGACAAAGAAACAAAAGCGCATCACTTAAGAAGAACTAAGACAATGTCTTCTTATGTAAGAACTGGAACAATATCTCACTATAGAAGAACTAAAACAATGATTATTGTCTAGATTTAAGGTTGTTGACACTGAATGTCTTTTCTGTTTTGTATTATCAATTTGCTATATTTGTCTATTGTCAAAGGCCGTATGTATAACTGTGGATATTAATTATGTATGTTTCTGTCTCTAAAGAGCATACTCTACATCATCTTTTAGTCATACATTACTTTTATATTTACTGCTGAATGGTATACCATTTATTTTCCAGTGGCAGTCCAAATTGCCCGCACTTCATTCCGATCAATCCCCTATTGCAGAACCTACCTATTGTAATATTTGGTAATTTGTTTTCGTTCTAAACATGCAAGAAATATTTGACACTTACATAAAGCAAACATCAACCAACCAACCAAACTGCATACCACAAGACCCAGTATAAAAGATCCATCAGCCACTCTTATACGCATTGTTTATGATTGTAGATTCGGAATCACCTAGTTTAAATGACTGTTAATTTTTATTGTCTCCACAGTTGAATAAACTGGTCGATAGCTTGTCAAGATTCCGTTTCGGCTTGAGATTGATGGACTTGAAGAGAATGACTGACATGTTACACGATTTTTCTTATACTAGCAAGCCAATTAGAGAGCTAGATACAATCAGGTTTATTGCAATTCTATGAGGTACTACTTTTTCTTAAACGCAACCGCAACTTTACTTTAACATTTATTGATGCCCCAATGAACATCTGTTTACACAAGTGCTGCCCCGGAGGAAGAAGCGTTAGACTTTTTTTAAGCATTATAGAGAACTATTAGGGAGCTACCATTTGATTTTTATGGGGGCTAGGATGAAATTTGAAAAAAATAGGCAGGACAGAAGTTTTGAGTAAAAAAAAAGGCAGGATGAGATTATTTGCAAAAAAAAAGGCAGGATGACAATTTATGTAAAAAAAAAAGTCAGGATAAACTAAAAAAAAAAAGGCAGGACCGAATAGAGTGAAAAATAAAAAGGCAGGACCGAATAGAGTGAAAAATAAAAAAGCAGGACCGAATAGAGGGGAAAATAAAAAGGCAGGACAAAATTTTTCATCCTAGCCCCCCCCCCCCCCCCCCCCCATAAAAATCAAATGGTAGCTCCCTTAGTTAGGTTGATTTCAACCTTAGAACTTTGAAGTTTAAAAGTGAGAAACTCTGTGATAAAGAGCCACAGGCAATCGTACTGGAATTGGACATAAAAATACATTGGAAATCAAATTTAATCATTCTGCCACTTGCTCAACAGAAGGACATTCAAATCGACAGTTCACAAGTACATGTAACAAAAGCGAAGAAGTTAACGACAGTTGTCGCCAATGTATGACCCTCTCGGAGTTCTTTGACCAATGACTGTTAGAGCCAAGCTATTGATACAGAAGTAATGAAAAGACATTTATGACTGGGACTAACAGGTTCAACAGATTCAAGTTTTGGAGTGATATAAGAGATGACATTCGCGATGTTACTACAAAAACAATGTTTACGTCATTGTTTCACAGGACAATACCAGAACACCTTTTAAATAATATCGTGACATAAATGTATACGTACTCTAAGCACTTCCTGTATAATTTGCCTGTCAGCTTTCTGTTTCTCCAATAAATTTTGTTCTTCTCCTAAAAAATAATTCATAGGAGCATTGTTAATGACAGTTCAAGAAGCCAAATATTTGCATTTTTACATTTGATCGATCAACACAACACAAATCACTTGGGTTTATTAAGTGCCCTAGACAGTACGACAAATATTGTTATAAAAAATATTGCATACATAACGAATACACAATTTTATACAGCACCAAATTTTTGATTTTTTATTATTTTGTTTTCAATTTTAACAAAAAAAATGAGAACATTCAGTTGGATAATGATGTGGAGATTTAATGTAACATTTACGATTTTATTTCCAATTAAAATCATTTAACTTGATTTCTAAATGTCATGGCAAGATGGCAAGTATGATTAAATCAAATATTTCAACACTGTTTCATACTTAAAATCTTCATATTGTATTTTGCTGAACTTTATGGTCAATTCTGAATGTAATAAATACTGCACTTCGTAAATGTTTTTTTAAAAGGTCTGGAGTATTTTAAAGGGGGATAATAACAGAAACTGTACTCGTAGCCATCGTTGGGACTCCAATATGAACCTCTGCGAAATATTGTCTTCTGTTGATATCATTAGTAGTACATAACAGTAAACTCAAACCGCTGTTCAAGTTTGTCATTTCGACATCGTATGACGTTTGTGTCAAATGGTACATATACAGTTTCAAGGTTTGTTATGCACTTATCATTTCATCGAAACACTCAACAATGCTGACGTATAATATTAAATCGAACTTTAAAATGTTGTTTTTCTAGCTGTATAACGTACATCTTTTATTTTTAAGGTAGGCGAATACACAGACAAGAGGTTCAAATGGAAGTCTGGCCTTGAAGACTTATCAAAATCCTTTCAATACAATAAATATTTATTTATTCTAAAATGCAATTATCTGATGATGGTTTAAGTTATGCAACCATTTCATCGAACTTAATTAATTAACAGGAGTAAAGAGCTACTCTGAACTAAAAAAAAATACTTCGACAAGACTGTAACTGACGGAATAGAAACTGAACTATATTCTACGTTAGCAAACATTGTTTAATTGAAATAATGAGGTTCCAATGGTTAAAAATACTTCCATGTTCTTGTGCTAAAATGGGCATTGATCATTTAAATTTTCGCTAATATGGGTTAAAAATCTTGCGCTAAAATGGGTTATACTTTTGCGCTAAAACGTCCGACTTTTTCGCTAAAATATCCTGTCAACCTCGTGACAACCTTCACAAGGAGGGGAATTATTTAAATGTAAAAACTGACGAACTGATTGAACCATGAATTCCAAAGTGGGTATTTCGCAAATCGATAATTGTATGAAATATTAAAACTAAAGGTAACATGAATTATTTAAAAGTCGGACCATACAACAAATTACACCAACAGGTCTTTTAAGCGGTGACGTCACTAGTAATGTGTATATGTTTTCGTCATGGTGAGATTAACATCTTTACAACAGGCTATAAAGATCGACCTATTTATATATTACAAAGAACAATAAAGGTAAAATTATTCATAATGTTAAAGAATATTTATGATTGACTTAATTTCAAATTAGTTTAGGATATATGTGCGGTACTGTAAATCGACTAACGTTAATCGTATTTTAAATGGACATAAATATAGAAGAGAAGAATCTGCAAAGAAATAACAGATCTTTGAAAAGGGCAATCCTGCTTTTGTTTATGAACATTCTCTAAAACAATGTATTTTAAAAAAAATAATGTTATCTATAAACTTTTGCTTATATGGTTTCTACTGGACCAAAATCATGGCGTAACTACCGAAACCGTTAATGTATACTATTTTTATGACCGTTTTTTTTTCAATGAAAATCTTTATTGATTTTTTACATATAATATCATTATTTACGACACATTTAATAATTTGTCTGTGTGATTCAAAGATTCTTGTCGATAAGAATAGACACTGCTATTACTACACATGTAATTGGGATGGAAGAGGTATTTGACCTAATTCAATATTCGCATTTCTGATTATGCTTGTTAATTACCTAATTTGAATAGAAAGTGAAAAAAAAGTTTGTTACCATTGAAAATTTCCGGGAATATATAATTCGACATTGATTTAAAAAACAATTTCTTGTTCCGATAAGTTATTGAAAAAATAGTTAGATTTTGAATTAAGTAAAATACAAATTGTTTGTCCCAAGACCCCCCCCCCAAAAAAAATGTTCGGTTTTTTCATACCACAGCAAAAACGGACACATCTGCTATCCAGTTCTAATTCAATAAATTCAAATGGTTTTTTACTCTGACTATAAAAGATCTATTAAGATCGTAGTATAAAGAAATTGCATATTGAATGTGTGTTTCCACTCATAAATTGAATCAGTGGCATAATATACAAAACAAATTACGATTAGAATTGATCTCAAATTATACTGAAATGTTCTTGACTTGCGAATTTATTTTCTCGTAAGAATTTTGCGAAAAATTGCGGCTTCTATTTGAGATTTTACATATGACATTGATAAAGATGTCCTCAAAAGGTAATATATTTTAAATCCCTGTACAATTAAGCCTGTGCTCTAGGTCATAAAACTTTACTCAGTACTCGGAGTACAAAAATTGTGCGCGAAACACCAAATCCAGTATTTTGATTGGTTGATTTCTGTGTGTGAGTACGATAAATGTTTGTAACCGCAAGCCTTTAGTTGTTGCCCAAAAATTGAGAAAGCATTTTAATAAACATTTACAGCATTGATTTGCAATAAAACTGAACATTTAAGAAATTACTCCAGACAACAAGAATAGGCAGACAAATCAACACATTCACTAGTAAAGTATAAACACTACAACAAAAACAACACAAAACCTTCATTTGTCATATATTTTTTCTTGTTTTTTCTTGGTATGGTCTAAAACTATATTTCAGAAGTATATTACATTCATTTAATCATAACATTTAGTTTCTGTATTGATTCACTTTTTAAATTCCATCAGGACTTTCAAACTGCAATTATGAAAAGTTGATGTGGTTTCAAACAATTAACATGCTCACTGTTATTTTGATGGAGAAACTCCTTTACAAACAACTAAAAAAATCATGAAAGTACTATATTTCATTTTTTCACAATACTTAAGAGAGACGTCATTCTACCAATATATATGCAAAGGATCTTATTTCCATTGACTATTGATAAATGTCACGTTTAAACTAAATATTTACAACATCAATTCGTATTCAAATTTTATGTCCCTAGTACCTTTGAAATGAGATTGTTTATTTCACCAATATGCTTTGAATAAAATTTGTGTATACAATATGTACAAATGTCATTTAAATAGAGAAACTTTCTATTTTAGTGTCCATATGCTATTCGACGGAGAAAATGTCCCTTTAAACATTTATTATTTATATTTTCTAAACCTGCATTATTTGTTATAACCTTTTCATGTTACGTTTAAATTGTCAGAAACAATGTTTATAAAAGTAAATTTTTATAATATTTATTAATTATTTGCTTGGTCCTTATTCAAATTGGCTATTTTTTATCCTTTATGTACTAAATAAAATTGAGAATGGAAATGGGGAATGTGTCAAAGAGACAACAACCCGATCATAGAGCAGACAACAGCCGAAGTCCATCAATGGGTCTTCAATGCAGCGAGAAACTCCCGCACCCGGAGGCGTCCTTCAGCTGGCCCCTAAACAAATATGTATACTAGTTCAGTGATAATGGACGTCATACTAAACTCCAAATTATACACAAGAAACTAAAATTAAAAATGAAAAATTAAAGTATACACTTAATAAGTTAGAGTTAATGATGACTATTTCAAAGTGTATGAGAAAAGTGGTGTACCACAACATTCATATTAGAAGTAATGTAAAAGCCGCATATTTTTATAACTCGGAACAGGTGCCCCTTAGCTACATTTGTAGACTTATATGTGCATACATAATGAGATGTGGAAAAACTGAAAAGAAAACACAAAATGTAAATAAAAACATTAAGTGACACGTGTAGAACTCAAACCTTTTACGTGGTTATCGCCATCCAGTGCTAAAATAATAAGATTTTGTGTGAATGGCTTGGCATGCGAAACTTAAACTGTCTACTGTTAAAATAAGTGGTTAAGTTATATTTTAAAATTTTTGTCTTTCGTCCATATTTTTAATTTGACTCATGCTTTATAAAAAGAAGCCATGTAAATGTACTTTGTTTAGAAAGGAGACATCAAGCAAAGGTTAATAAGTTTGTAATAAAAAATATTCGGGCGAAAATGATGACTAAATATTCTATGTCGATTTTCAATATTCATCTCAATTCATTATTGAAACATCTTTTTGTATGTTATTGTGAAAATGATTAGGAATCCCTCTTCTACAATCTATAATTCCGTCAAAAATGAAGGTAATTGCACCACAAATGTTTCCATTGAAACTTTCAGGAATTTAATTTTCAATCTACTTAGCAAAATTAACAAAGCTATGCCAAAAGCTAAAGTTAAGATGTGTCAAGTTTATTATGATCTGTTACACCGAATGCACACTTGGTCAGTTCTTGAGACGACAGACAGTTTAAAATGCTTTACAACCACTTGGTGCAGAGAGAAAAGATACCAAGGTAAATCGAAAGTCCACTAAAACAGATAACACCATGGCCAAAAATAAATACGACGAAAAGACAAAACAACAATAACAAAACATTGCAAAGATAACTAAAGATTGGGCAGCACGAACCCAATCAAAAAGTATTGGATGGAAGGATCCAGCGGAAAATATTACATTCATATTCGGGTCGAGAAGCTAAACATTCAAATATTATATGACAATACAAGACCTTCAAGCGAAGAAGGATTTTAAACATGCTTCACACAAGGTAACACTTCCGCAGGATGACACGTCACTTCACCGGGACACATTATTCCAACTCGCAACTGACCAGTGTTTGCTCTTAATTACTTCCATAGATATCACGCATTTACCAGAGAAGCAGCTTAAAACAATATCAAAATATTTGGTTTGAATCGGTCTGGGTTAGAGTTCGAGCTTCTAAACCACGATCTGTCGCTTTCTAGGTGAGCACGAGAACAACTGGGCTTTCTTATAAGAATGACTAGTGCTGGACTCTTAAAGGTACTAGTAATTGATAATTTGCAGCTGATCTATATGTAAACGTGGTAACAACAACCAAAGGTGAGCGATACACACTAATCTATATGTAAACGTGGTAACACCAACCCAAGGTGAGCGATATAACTAATGTATATGTAAACATGGTAACAACAACCCATGGTGATCGATATATACTAATGTATATGTAAACGTGGTAACAACAACCCAAGGTGAGCGATACAAACTAATCTATATGTTAACGTGGTAACAACAACCCAAAGTGAGCGATACAAACTAATGTATATGTAAACGTGGTAACAACAACCCAAGGTGAGCGATACAAACTAATCTATATGTAAACGGGGTAACGACAACCTAAGGTGAGCGATACAAACTAATGTATATGTAAACGTGGTAACAACAACCCAAGGTGAGCGATACAAACTAATCTATATGTAAACGTGGTAACAACAACCCAAGGTGAGCGATACAAACTAATCTATATGTAAACGTGGTAACAACAACCCAAGGTGAGCGATACAAACTAATCTATATGTAAACGTGGTAACAACAACCCAAGGTGAGCGATACAAACTAATCTACTAGTATATGTAAACGTGGTAACAACAACCCAAGGTGAGCGATACAAACTAATGTATATGTAAACGTGGTAACAACAACCCAAGGTGAGCGATACAAACTAATCTATATGTAAACGTGGTAACAACAACCCAAGGTGAGCGATACAAACTAATCTATATGTAAACGTGGTAACAACCACCCAAGATGAGCGATACAAACTAATATATATGTAAACGTGGTAACAACCACCCAAGGTGAGCGATACAAACTAATGTATATGAGACTCTTATTTTAGGAAACGGTTCCGATATTCAATACAGATATTTAATAATAGTAAGCCTTCCAGTTTAAAAAAAATGATGTAGAGTGAGAGACCCATATTTGCCGCATAATTCGTTCATTTTCACTTACATCCGACCTAAATTCGAATATTTGGAACTTTTTATGAAGTTTTCAGAAAATTAACTATATGAAAAAAATGTTTGATAAAGAAATTATCTTCAAAACATTGGTTAATTGTTCTAAAAACGAACGCAAACGCAAGATAGAAATCAAGTTGTTCGTGTACCATGGGGGACACATTTTCGCCGCAATGTATGATATGACCATCCTCATTATCCTGGTATATTATAAAAACGAATGTTTGCAATTACATGAATTAGCTTGAGAGATCATTCCTATACGATTTTTCTCACAAATATTTACTTTAAGACTGCGCATGATTGCCATATAAATCTTACATAATTGCCAAAATAATTTAAAAACACCTGCGTATTTCTCAATATGTGCGAATAACCTTGGAAATGGGGTAAAGAGGAATATCAACAGTTGTAACATTACAAACAGCCTTTACCATCTATTTAGGCAAGTATTGGGTAAAAGCACACAAATTTTACAGAAAAAATAGCAAAACGGCGTAAATGTGTCCAAGGCGAATATGCGCCACCCACTCTATATGCCATATATTATTGGTGTATATTGTTCAATTCTGGCTGATACTTCAGATTTGTGTCGAGGGAAAGGAATCATACTTTCCTATGCGCATACACAACACGTGTGAATAATAAATTATCATTTACATTGTTCAATATTAGCTTTAATCATCACTTACCCATTTCAAGACCAGAATCCTGCACACTGCCTTTCCCAAAGAAGTCTTTATCAACCATATATGCAACCAATACCAGCAACGGAAAAAACAAAAACGTTACAATTGCCTCCCATACATCAATATAATCGGGAGTTATTGCAACTAAAATGACCAAAAGCCATAAATAGGCAACTAACGAGAATACGGCTGTCACTAGGAAAACTTTGAACTTTTTAATTCTTTTTGTTTCTCCTCCTGAAATTGACAAAACGCATACGCCAGTGATGCACATTAAATTAAAAGCTGCTGAACCAACAATTGTTCCTGGTCCTAGCTTACCAGCTTTAAAATCATTAAACACAACTTCTATAATTGACAATAAAATTTCAGGTGCACTTGACCCCAGTGCCATGAGGGACAAATTCGCAACAGTACCGTTCCACACTTTAATGTCAACTACGGTATAGCCAGTTTCCGAATCCGGGTCGGGGACTTTAACTGCTTGTGTTTTGCTAGTTATTGCCTCGATCCCTTGCATGAAAATGTCTGCAATAATTGATACGCCCATGAAGCTCCACAACAAACCCAAAAAGTAGATTGTCGCCCTTGCCTCCTTTGGCCATGTATACTCGTTTACAAAGGGCATTAACAACCCTTTGTCTGAGCAGAGGTACTCTGTACACGCTGTACAGTTCGCCATACTGGTAACCTTAAAAAAATGAATATAAGCGTACAATAGATGTATTAAATAGTTTTAAATATCCTAACAATGGTTCAGTGTTGTGATCAGAAATGTTAATTTTAATCATTGCAACGTGAGGGTACCTAAATTGCACCTACTTTGATCGTTTTTCCCCTACGTTTATTTATGATCCACACAAAAGTTTCCATTCTGTGTTTATTTTGTAGACGTATCCTTATTTACTATATCGTTACACCAATTTAATTTTGAATCCAAATTAAATCATAGAAAAATGGGTTTGAACCGACCTCCAAACGATCCATGATTCTGTAATGAGAAATACTCAAATTGCATCCATGCTTAAATTCACATCCTTAAAAATTGAATAACAAATGTTTTGTTTTATTTCTTCAAATATTTAGAACAATTTGACATTTTTCTATGCTTGCTATTTATTTTTTTTAAGAAATGGATGCTTGTAACATATTTTATTTGCTCAATTTCAAAAGATGACTTTTTGTGAACGTCGCATTCGGACTACCTGCTGATATATACCGTGAACGTTTTGTGTATATTTAAATATATTTACCTATGTTGAAAGACGTGTATAATGTCAAATCATGAAAATACATATTGTTTAGTCTCAAAGAAAACTTGTAAGATTTCCGCCGCTATTTTTGCTGATTAGGTGCAATTTGGGCACTCGGTGCAATTTGGGTACTGTGACGTTATGTACATAAGATAAGAAATAGAAATAAAATACATTTGTGTCTTTTTTGGCATTTTATGTACCTGATGAAGGTTGTTACAAAAACACGTGTTGAGTTCAACAAATAAAGTATTTGATTCATATAAATATATGATTTGAGAGGATTCTCATAGTACGTCTACAACTTTTGATTTTTAGTGGTAATTCCTTGCCTTTGTATGCACGACACAATTAGACTACATTGGCTATATGATGATTGGATCTCAGACGAATAGCCTTCTTCAAACGAGTAGGTTTAGCAAATAGTAATATCTTCGATAAAAAGCCATTCTTAAAATTTCGAATGAATTTTTTTTAACATAAAGAAATGATAAGATGGAATTGATGAACCCAAATATACTACAACGATTATTAGTGACCAGTTCTGCTTATAGATACAGTGAGTCTAATATTCTTTAAGTGAATTCTCACTGAAAAAGTCAGTGGTTGTCACAACGTTGGAGTTGAACGTACAAAATATGAAAATATATTATCCTGTTTTAAAACTTTGAATAATCGTTTTATAAACTTTTGAATTGAACAATTTACCTTATCTTTCTCTTAAATCATACTTGTTATTTCGCAATACTTTTTCAATGATAGTAATTTTCCTACATTTCGTATTATATACAGCGAAACTTTTTACAAAAACTTGTGACAAAACTCGCCCAAAAGTCCTGAACAACTCAGCTCAGTTTGCGATCTACTTTATTCGTCGACGTTTTTCCCCCTGATTTGTTCATCACTTACGAGTAAATCTAATCGTAAGACATCTCGTTCTTATGTGTACTGGATTAATACCACCTCGTGTTTCTACTATTATAATAAATATTGACATAGGTATTTAAACATAAGGATTTTTAAAGTTTCCAAAAAAGACGTTATATATTAAGAAAACAAACGAGCAGAACAATCAATAGCTAATAAAGGATTACACGTGTATATAAATAATGAATGTGGTATGTAATTAGCAGTATTAAAGTGTGGAATACAATATATTTATAGGTGGTTCTTTTATATTGTTGATGGGTGACTTAATTTTGACATGTTTGTTTTGAAAACAATTAACATGATTTTTGTATTTTAAAGATGTCAGAAGCTTTATTTGTTTCCTGTTGGTATATTATTTCCATGTATAATAAATTAATAAATTTACATGATTTTTACGCATACATAAGAACTCTCCTACAGATCGAAAAAAAATTCAATTTATGGATCACTTAAAATTATCAATATATATGAAGTAGCCTTCTTCAGGGTAGGATGACTTTTAAATAAACCAACGAACTACCGTGACACTGTAAAAATGATTCCTTCATTCGTTTTCAAAAACGTTAATTTCATCTGTCATTATCAATTACGAATAAAGCTTAAACGGACAGTACTTTACATAAATTAAATTCAAACAATAATACAGAGAGAGATGAAAAAAAGGCATTTCATTCGTCGGTTAGTTTTTTACTTAATCTTTGTAACAGATCATTCATCTCTAAGCGAAACTAATGATCTACCGTATTTTAAACTCGTGAAATGATGAAAAACTGTTTCCAAGTTTTAACTTTCTAAAATTGTAGATTTTAATTTTTACGGTTATCCATTTTTTTTCTTTTGTAATTAATAATTAATTATTTAATAGAATTAAATGATGCATGTATTTTTTTTACTTTTTCTTACCTTTTGATTTTAAACCTGATATCTTATTAGATGAACTCGGTGTTTATGTAGCCATACCATCTGTCTGTTTACCTGTCGTCAAAACACAATCCAATGACGTTGTGAATAGGTAAGAAAGATAACTCTTTACTTTTTTTCTTCATTAAATAAGTCTATTTTACTTTTACGAGCTGTGAAAACATCAAAGACCTGTCATTTGCTCTGGTCATTTGCTTTACTGTTATCATTTAATGTAATTTAAACATAGATCTTTCATTTGCTTCTTATCTTGTATTTTAACCGATAATAACTCTCCCAAGATAAAATCTATCAACACTTGTTTGAACATAATTTATCTAAAGTTAACATGTAAAGGTCCGTTATGTCGTTTAAGGCATTTTTTAATTAATTCATTGTAGTATGAAAATGAGCGATGTTTTATTGCGTGTATTTTAGTTTTTTCTAAGTAAAAATAAACATTTTAAATCATTTCCAGAGAAAAGTATAAATTTCGAACATATGTTAGATCTAGTCAAATGCTGGAAGTTAAATTGGAATTTGTCGGGGTATATCTGTTTCTGAGCATTTTGATTAATGAATATTATTTATCAAGCATTTTTTAGACTTACTTTTTCATAGCCAACTCTATCAGAGTCTTAATTTGCGGCTTCATAGATATAAGAAGATGTGGTATGAGTGCCAATGAGACAACTCTCCATCCAAGTCACAATTTGTAAAAGTAAACCATTATAAGTCAAAGTACGACCTTCAACACAGAGCCTTGGCTCACACCGAACAGCAAGCTATAAAGGGCCCCAACAATGACTAGTGTAAAACCATTCAAACAGGAAAACCAACGGTCTAATCTATATAAAAAACGAGAAACGAGAAACACTTATGAACCACATCAACAAACGACAACCACTGAACATCAGGTTCCTGACTTAGGACAGGTGCACCCCATTTTTACTGATATGTGTATTTAGAGAAAAACAAAAAACAAAACAAAAACACATTTGATTATTGAATGCTTCTTTTGTGGTTTAATTGGGGTGTAAACGCGTTTACCGAAGCACCTTTTGCATGAAGCGCCGAAGCGCTTTATACTAACCTTGTGCACACGATCAACGCTTTTACAACCCTATAAAATTACAATAAGAAACATTCAATTTTTATAATTACATTTTTATGCTTCAACTATGAAATTACGAGGTATATCAATCTTTTCATTTGCTTTCCTATGCATTGCAGTGACGATTTCATGGGAAGCATGTGCAGTAATGAGTGTCGATTTTTATTGAGAAATACAATTTGATTTGGGAATACTTCATGATCCAGCCCATCAAAAGTACGGATGCTTATGAAACATACATGTAATGTAATATGAAGATAATCAGTCTATGGAAAGTGCAAATCGAGAAATCCGTTTCTTATGTGGAGTAGCGATATTTTCTTTTGTAAATGAGATGCATTATGGGGAAGTCTCAGACGACTGTTGACATTTGTAGGAATAAAAGAAAATTCGTCGGAAAAGTACTTGTTTATTCTTTTTAAAACATAGATTTTTTTAACAGGACAAACGTATATTCAATTTGCCATGTATTTTGAACATTTTATTCCATGTATGTTGAATTTATACAAGTAAATAAGCATTCCCGTTTGAATGGTTTTACACTAGTAATTTTTGGGGCCCTTTATAGCTTACTGTTCGATGTGAGCCAAGGCTATGTGTTGAAGACCGCACTTTGACCTATAATGGTTTACTTTTTTAAATTTTGACTTGGATGGAGAGTTGTCTCATTGGCACTCATACCACTTCTTCTTATATTTATTTGCATTAAATAAAACCTATTTGCACGATCTATAATTTTGAGATGTCCAAATACTTTGACAATGATTCTACGCCATAATCACTTGTATGAGGATGATAATGCTATTTTTATGCCCCACCTACGATAGTAGAGGGACATTATGTTTTTCGGTCTCTGCGTCCGTTCCTTCGTCCGTCCGTTCGTTCGTCTGTCCCGCTTCAGGTTAAAGTTTTTGGTCAAGGTAGTTTTTGATGAAGTTGGAGTTCAATCAACTTGAAACTTAGTACACATGTTCCCTATGATATGATCTTTCTAATTTTAATGCCAAATTAGAGTTTTGACCCCAATGTTACGGTCCACTGAACACAGAAAATGATAGTGCGAGTGGGACATCCGTTTACTATAGACACATTCTTGTTTCTTATATGAGTGCGACGTTTTTCCAATAGATATGCATTTATTATGAAAACTTTTCCAATGCGATATTTTTCTAATAGAAATGCGATACTTTTTTCATATGAAAAAAATACGATAATATGGCGCACTGCATTCAAACAAAGTAGAAACATCGACAATTATTCATGACATGTTCGATGGTACAGGAAAAGTATCACTGACATTTCGTATAGATGATATACGTACATAATAAATCAATTATACGCTTATAAAGAAGTAGACACGATGTTCTACTTTCAATCAATCAATTTTGGTTTTTCAGATCAATATTGCACACTATTTACCATCTCCCAACTTCCGATGAAAAAAATGTCTGGGTAGTGTCACTCTAGAATAAGTGTTGACACAGATATATGTTCATCTGTCATATCTATGTGTAATTTTAATAGTTAAATTCAATTTTTGAAATTAAAATGAAAATACTTTATAAACATGTATTTATTATGCAAAACATCCAAAGTCAATGAAACGTGACTGAAGTTGCAGGGCCAAATAACCTCCCTGGAAATGAGATATGATAATGCTGTTACAAGTGCATACTAAATATCATTGACCTATTGCTAATGGCTCTCCTTAAATTGACCTAATCAAAAACTTTAACTGTAAGCGATGCAAAACTTTCGCAGTCAATGAACCATCGTTCAGGGGGGCGAGGCCGTATAATCTCCATAATAATATGCCAATGCTTATATAAATGCACACCAAATATCCATTGACGTATCGTTAGTAGACCCATTTTAAAAAACTTACCTTATCACAAATTTTAAATAATGTTAACGCCGCCGACGCCACCGGAAACAGCACGCCTCCATTACTTTGTAGAGGCGAGACAAAAAATATCTACACTAACTTTTTCGCCCTCTTATATTTGTAAAATCTATATTTGATGTAATGTTATTGCAATTTTATCGAATTATGCATGACGATTAAAAAGGCCAAACACTGCATTCGATAGGTTAAAATGTGGAAAGTAAGAACATAATTTTGAAGTTGTTAACTAGGAATCGTTTTTCTTTTCCATTACTTAAAGTATATTTCAATTTCCAGCGATCATCTATTTGACATGCCTGAAAACTGAGTTTAGAATTATGATATTATCTATCTAAGCAAACACATGAAATGTACACATGTCTTGAATATAAACACTTTTAAATGTGTTCAAGAATTAAAAGATTTTTGGACTTTAACACTAATTTCTAAGCTAAACATGATCCTATACACTGTCCTAAACATTTTCTTCAATCTAAACATGTTACGAAATTAAACATGTTAAAAAAAAAGTGTGCAAACAATGTTCAATGTATTTAAAATTGTGTTTAGGATTTAAACACCATTTATACAGTTTACATGTAGTAAGGATATCGGAAATGCATATTCATATAGAAATCTAATAGATGTTATGTCGATGCCACCAATTTGAACGAAAATTCGGGTCGGTCTATACAACATGACTTTTACACTAATTTCTAAGCTAAACATGATCCTAAACACAATCCTCAACACAGTGACTTTCTTCAATCTAAACATGTTACGAAATTAAACATGTTTAAAAAAAAATATGCGCAAACGTTGTACAATGTATTTAGAATTGTGTTTAGGATTTAAACACCATTTATATATTTAATAGACATGATAGATGTTATGTCGATGCCACCAATTTGAACGAAAATTTGGGTCAGTCTATACAACATGACTTGATTTAATTCTTCACGTATAAAAAAAGTATAACAAAAAAACAGTACTCCAAGGCAAATTCAAAAACTGAAAAAAAATTCGGACGCTATCAATCAACGGAACAAATGAAAAACATCTGCCGTGTAACTTTAATCTAATACAAATATGTTTGAAGAACAATTAAGAATTTCGAAAGATGTCTCAAAAATCCATTTTGACAGTAAGCAGTGGGTTAAAACTGCTACCTCATAAAACATGAAACGTAAAGTTACAATAAAAACATTAAAAAGATATCGCATCTAAAATCAAATAAATAGCATTTAATTATTTATTTACAAAAGAAAAATGGTAGCAGTACAATTTTTACAAGGATATACACTTTTGCTATTTCTTTGATATTGTTCATATTTCAAGTCATAATTTTCGTTTATATCTAAATGATAGGTTAACAGTTTATGTTTCCATCAATAAATTTGACATTGTTGCTCGTTTAGCTGGTCAATTTGACTTTTCCCCTTTAAAACGACATTGAAAGGCTGATAATAATCGATTTCACACTCTATTGATTACTGGTAATACATAAAACACTTCTGTTTGTCGCGTGAATTAATTTTGGACTGAACGTATTCATATATTTTAATACTAAATATTTTTTTATTGCAAATAAACATCTTTTTCCTCATTGAGTGTCTACATATTTACAGTTTCATATTAGAAAATATCCCGACTCCACATAGGAAACGGTTTTCTCGATTCGCACTTTCCATAGACTGATAATGTGCCAATATTGAAAATATAATTTTCCATCTAATTAATTAAAGTGTAAATAATCCAGTGGCGGTTTAAAAACTTTTCCAAATGAAGATAAAGGACAGTAATTTCATTACGGTTGGGTAGCTGTCTAAAATCTCGAAATGGACAAAAGACTCGCAAAAAGTGAACCTATAAGGGAGAACATACCATGTAACTCAACATTGAAACGATTGTCCTCAGTGGACAGAGGTTTATTTTTGACTGAGAAATGGGGCGACAATATATAAATAACACATAGCTGAGAGGGTGATAGAGCAGATTGTTACCCCGAGAAAACATTGTCAACTGAGGCGAAGCCAAGGTTGACAATGTCTTTTCGAGGGGTAACAATCTGCTCTTTCACCCTCTCAGATATGTGTTATTTAATTTAT